CATGAGTATAAATGTAAAATCACAAACTTTGAGGGGCTATAACTTCCAAAATAATTGTCTTCGCGCAAAAATTCAAACAGTTTCGAAATCAGCGTTGAAAAACACGTCTTAAAAAAAAAAATATCGAAATTCGTGAGGTGCGTGGTGCATTTTAGGCTTTAGCCCAAAATCGCAAGTAATTAAACGACTAACGAGTAACGACGTGATGAAAAAATTGTTTGTTATTGTAATCGCAGTGGTGAAAAAATCGCTGTGCTTCGAAGCGCTTTCTTCGGGTGGCGATCGTGCTGGTAAAGTGGTGGCCCACCACTGGTGGGGATGCGTGAAAAAAAACGTGTTTTGGTCGGCCGCCGTATGCGGTATGCGTTCTCTCGTGGCGGTGGCGCGTAGTATGGTACTACGCCACTACCACATACAACCATACCGATATATCGCCTCGATATTATCGGGCCTTGTGATATTTTAAAACGATTACTCGTTGGGATACTGTAGTGATCCCTCACTAACGCCTATTGAGTTCAGCGACGTTGGATTGACAATCAGGTTTTTTCAAAGGAGACGATGGTAGAGTTTCAAGTTACACAACGTTAAAAATGTTAAAAAAGTATTTTATTAAAGTAAAAATATAAAGTTATATAAATTTGAGGACAGAACATAAAGTATCTGCCCGAGAAATTATATAGTAATGTAAATAAAAATAAAAATGGAATGAACTTATATGTATAGAGGACAAGCCCAACGACTATACCAAGTTCTATATACATTGAGTGAGACACAAACTAATTCTAATTCTRCAATGGACTTGGTCCTGTATTTATGCAGAATTTTTGTACGGTAGAGATTGTAGGAAGTGGATAAAAGGAACCGCAAAGTGGTTGTTATTGCGAATGTTTGGATTCTCGGTAATTCAGTGAGCATACATTCGGCAATATTCTAATTTCGCACTTCTTTATAATTTAGACACGGTTGAATCTGGTATCGATAAAACTGTCATTCCCAAGGTCCAGGATGACAAATATGAGAATGTGAATGTAATTATAATATGTTAATGTAATTTAAAAGAAAAAATAGTATAGCGACTCCGTCGGTTTACTACAATACCAAAAGTCAATAGATATTATTATATAGTGTAGTAACAGTAACAAATACAATTATGAATTATTTTGAATGTTTTATATTTATAGCTATTAGCTATGTTTACTGTCTATAGTCTATATTTATTGGTCATTAATCTTAATCCTATAGTAAGTATCGATTACTAGTTTTTTAGTATTAAGAAAAAAWTTTCCGATATATATCGATGTATCGAAATTACGATATATCGATAGTCAACGATTTTTTTCCATCCCTAGCCGACGGTACTATCCACGATTAAAGATATTTTTATATAATCTGTGGTACTATGTTGATAGCGATTTTGGCTCGCGCGTGTGAGCGTATGTTGATAATAAATATTGGTTCGCGCATGCGCGTAATGCGTACGGGGCATGGAATTAGCTGGCAGCTGCCGGAGCGCCCGGAGCTGCTGCCGTAGTGCCGTGATCAACTCGTGTAGTCGTATATTAATGTATTATGTACACTAGTCAGCACTCAGCAGTCACTAAGTTACTTGCGTTTCGTATAATGAGTACGACATAAAAATATCTCACAAACAAATTAATTTAAAATTGTTAAATTAATACTCAATAGTAAATACCAATAAGGTATGACTATAATGGTATATACAAATAAACAATTGTCAATCAAACAAATTATAAATATAAAGTATTTCACGATCGAATATAATTCACTTTGAAAYATCAATGAATTATGATGTACCAGAAGAATTCATGACCATAATGAAATAACTCAAATCAATATTTAGAATTTATTAGATTTACTTGTTCTACCTATGACTATATGTATAGTTAACGTGGTCGTGCCGTCGTGGTATTATTGATTGTGTGTAGTGTACTAGCAACTAGTGTGTACTTTATTTGTTTTATAAAACTTCACAATCTTACCATTGAGCAATGAACACCGACTAAAATCAGTATTTGGACCATGCCATTGACGAATTTAATGACACAGACCAGTCTTAATTAGAGACGGTGACACAGACATAATACATGAAATCTATGTGATGTAAATATATAAATTTATTATCTTATCGGATTACCTGAAGACTATAGCTTACGATTTTGATTCCTTAAAACTTAAATGTCAAATAACGGTGAATTTAATAATAGTCACTTGAACAATTTTAACTGAACATTGAACAACAGACGACAACGAGTTATCCCGGTCATGTCCAAGCAAACACTTGAAAAAATGTTATCAGTTTGTGACTACAACTGATGAACTGAATATAGTTATAGTTAACTGTTAACAAATTTGATATGAAATATTAAAATTTAAAATTATGAAATAGACTACTGTAATGTTTATAGTTCTATGCCCGGGAAGGCGGGAATAAAAAAACAAAAATAAAAACTTTGAAGTGTAACGTGTAAGGTACTAAACTACTAAGGTGATAAATTACTGTCTTTGTGATGCTATATAAATTTGAATTAAATGATAGCTATTAGCTATCATGAACATTATTCTACGCGCACCGCTATTTCTCTACCTGTAATATAAAGAACGAAAACAATTCATTTATACAAAAATTTAAAAGGTATAGGCATTGATTAAAGATTCAGTGTACAACTTTACACAATGGTTTTAAATAAGTATTCGAGTAACCGCTTATATTTAAATCAAAGTTTATAACTTGCACATTTAGTGTCATTTACTGAATGTCGAAGGGTTTGAAAAAATTTGACTAAAAAATAACCCTGCGGCATCAATTTCATTTTGACATGAAAGAATAAAGATGATTATGTTCATGATCAATTTTAATTAAATATTTTTTATCTAGGGAAATTTTTAAAATGCATGGTCATTTGTGGCTATTTTTTTTTGTAGCATTTCCACCTTAAAAATGTAAACACACATAGACATTTTGAATGCCAACTTTTCTTAGGCTTCTGGCTCTCGAAAATATCTATATTATCCATAACTATTCAAAAAGGAATTACCTAAATCAAAGCTTAACGAAATATATAATAYACGAAAGTACACAAATACAGAGAAATGAACACACAAAATTGACAAACTTTATAAATTACCACTTTTATAATATTACCAGATTATTAGAGCATTTATATAGTTTATATAATATATAGTTATTGGTACCTTTCTTATCCGTTACAATATGTCACTGTACCTAGTTATTGTATATCTGATCGATATGACAGACAGACCATGCTCTGAATCTTTTTCATAGTAGCCAGTAGGTAGACAATAATTTATCATTGAATTCAAAATTAAATATTAATATTATTTGTGGGAACGTAACAATTGGACGTAGGTAATAGGACTATAGGATTTTATACATTTTGTATTGATTTGAGATTAATTTGCAAAATTTCATATTGTGGGGTTATTTTTTCGCGGTACCTGAAAAAATATGTATATTATTCAGAGTTAAAGTTAACAAAATAAAATCTAAATCAATCAAAAAATTAATATATATTAAATAAACTTATGCCTCTACTTGAACTGAAACCTTTTAAAAAACCAACCTAACATTAATCATTAATGTTTAACCCCACCTCAAAACCAAACGTAAACAACTAAATAGCCGCCTGACGCCT